GTGAATAGTATCAAATCAAAAGAGCAAATGACAACAGCCTTCCAGGTTTCAAACACACTTCAAATTTTCAATTTAATAAAAATAAATAACCAATAAAATCAGCTCCTGCTAATAAATAAATACACGAATCTGGAGCCTACACGAACCCATAAAAAACAAACGTATATTCAACTCGGCAGAAGGACTGACAAAAGTAAAGAAACATGACTCAACCTCGTCGTACTGTCTTTCTCGCCAGATCAACAGTGGACTTCCTTTTACTTGTCTCTCAACTCCAATTTCTCTTTTTCCCACTGAAAGACTATTCATGTTCATTTCCTTACAGTCAAAGAGAAAAAAAAACTTTCCAACTTTCAATTCATGATAAATAATTACAGTTAAAATTTGTGTATCTTTCGTTTAAATGAATATCATTTTATTTAAACACGCAACAATCTTTTCTCTCATTTTTTATTCAACAAATGGTAACCCATGGAATCTTTCCCCAACATTTTCTTTGATGTTCTCTTCTAGATTTCAAATGGCTTCTTTTTGTTGACCTGTCTTGTCGCCTGGATGTCAAAAAGTCTTCTCCTTGTATCAGCTGACCTCTATTTATTCAGAAAATTAGGCTCACAAGAGCCCCACTATTGAGGATGTTACCAGAGCTTGAGACCACGGGAATACCAAATCTCTACTTCATGAGTAGGGGTGCTGAAAAAACGTTCGATCATGTTGTTGGTAAGTGGAAAAAAGTTCTGTGTGTCGGAAAAACTTAACATTTCCCAGTGGTAACGCCATTATTGTATGGTTCACATCTTGAAGCCAAGAGAAGAAAGAGAAAGATTCTGTCCTTTCCAGAAATGGAGTCATAAAGTCCAGAAACCGTTTCTGATTTCTTTATAACTTGCCTGATGGGAAAATTAATTAATTTTTTTATTCGTTATCATTATTTTATTTATTGTTTTTATTTCATCCCCCCCAACTCCACCACAAATGACTCAGTGGCTATTGAACAATTTGTAAGTTGATTGTTAACTATAAAGGAACCTACACTATTTACATTGCTCTGACTATCTTCCTCATCTTCGTTACCATATTTATCACAACGTTTCAGCCGTTGTACTCTCTGGCCTTCTTCAGGTGGTTGGAATGTCGAAATGAATCCTTTATTTCTCTCACTGGGGTAGACTGTTCTAGTTCCACGTGCCATGTCTAATGGATGTCATCAGTTATATCCTGTTAATTCCACTCTCCATGTTCTTCACTACTTTAGGTATTGAACTCACACTTTTTAGGTCCTGTCACTGGATCTAACTAACGCCTTTATCCACTGTGTTATGTGTCCTCAAAATAGTGTATATAATATCTCATCTCAGAAATGTAGACAAATAAAGGAACCTTTTTTAATATTTTCAGTCTAAAAATCTAAAAAATATACAATCAAAATATTCATGACCAGTTGGAGAATTGGGGCAAAAGTGTGTGGCATTATTTGGACTAAGGCTGTCTTTAAATTATAATTTCTACTCTGCTCTACAAGATCTTAGAACAATGATTCCTAACGTGGGGTGCATGCCCCATTCGGTGGAGCATGTTAATATTTGGGTGGGGCATGTGTACCCTTCGGCTTACTATACAAACGTGAGCTTAAATTTCATTTTGCATTGATCAAATGATCAAATTATATTACAGAATAAACTTTTATTCAAATATTTTATATTTCTACCTTTCAGTTCTCTATTATATGTTTTGAAACTTTAGTAACCCTTATTTTAATTTCAAATATTTTCTTGAATTTCATTGGTTGTTAAATATAAAATAATCTTCGAGAAATTTCCATAAAAAACAATCAAATTTTGTGCAAAAATAGGCTCAACTGACTTATAAAAAATATTTCTCAAATTCATCCCTAATTTAAATGTTTCAAGAAATCCCACTGGATAAAAAATAAAAAAATACAATATCACCCACGCATTTCTGAGAATTATTGGCAACATCTGGCGAACCTTCGTTGAGCCGATTTGGTCTTTAAGAAAAACTATAAATAGAAACGACGAATGAGTTTTCGTCGCATTGAAATTCTTACAGACAAGAAATACGCACAAAAATTTATTTGCGTCCAGAAAGATATTTATACACGGAAATGAGATACAACTCAGAGAGGCACTAAGAAAACTTAATTCTTATACTGCATTTTAAAACAAACTTTCTTTATGAGAGATTGGGAGAATTTACACTACAAACTTTTCCATTTAATATCTCTCATAGAAAACATTTTGTCTAATTTGAAATTAACCTTTATAATAAAAAGACAACTTTTTATAGTAAAAAGACAACATTTTACTTACTTTTCGCATTGAATGTACATAAAATTTAATTTGTTGTTCCAAACATGTCTCTTTTGTTGTAACTGAATATCGTTACCATTTGGCCATTTTTTTGAATTTATGTTTGTGGATATTGCATCCTTTATTTTCAGCACAACTTTAATAATTCACGCAGCCTTCCTAGATCCACAACAAAACTGTCTTTCTGTTTTTTTTTTAAATTTTTCTCATTCATGGTCTTGAGACCAATTTAATGACTTTTTAAGCTTCCTTCACTGCAGTAAAATTTTGAATATGTAGGAATTAAATATTACAGGGGGGGGCACCAGAATTTTAGAAATACCAAAGTGGGACATGGCCCAAAATCGGTTGGAAACCACTGCCTTAGAGGGCAGCGAAAATAAAATTCCAAACATTGGCTACAACAGGTCATATCTGGTTCCAGATATTATCTTGAGCGTGCAAATGATTTCCATAAAATAATTGTTTGGATTTCGGAACTTTTGAGTTTTCTGAATTTCAGAGAAGGGATTGTGTACCAGGAATGAATCTCATGACAGCAATTTCTTTATTTCTGAAGAGTAGGAATTAGCAGTTCTCAATTCCTGTATTGTGGGGTCTGCATACTGACTTTTATTTGAACTTAAAAAATCATAAAGTGTACCTCTTTAAACCACGCCTGTTAGCGTACTCTATTTAGGCAGGTTATAAAGATTAAGTCTTTTGATTAAGACCAAAAGACTTAATCCTCTTTTATTACAGACTTGAAAAACAAATTTTATACTTGTATCTTTTTCATAAACTGTCGTGCTTTCTTTTGGCAGTATTTTTACAACATCAATTTGAACCTCACATATACAAAATTTGACACATCAAATTTTATTCGGGCATTTTTTACTAACCGTTTGTTTTCATTAAATACTATTTCCACCACAATTACATGCACATATACATACCATATTAAAACACGCCCAAACTTTATTTTCTATCCAATAACAGACAATATTACAAACATGCCAAAAAGATTCCGCAATGCAACACACACCATTTAAATCAAAGTGTCTATTGGTCAGAAATTAACTTCACCATGTGAAATATTTGACCAATCAGTGAAAACAAAAACTCGTTTTTTTCTCGAGCATACGTTTGAGAAAAATTTTCTTATAAAATCCTACAGATTTTGATTTTCAAGGAGCAGAGATGTGGTTGTCTCTAAGCCGTTTCAAACACAAGAGACGTGGCTATATAGCCTTTTCTTACCACCGAGTGTGTGCTAAAATAAACATGTGTTCAAACGAGCCATCTTCAACAACAGTAGTAGAGACAGTCAGTGAATCTTCGCTAACAAAGAAGTTCTCAACCACAGCTTTTTTTTTTTTTTTTTTTTCTGTGGACCAACTCCCCAAAGACATTAACTCATCTAAAGACTATTTTTACTCCTTTCTGACTCTTTTGCATTCATGTAAATATGTTTGTAACTACAAATGGTTTATTTGTCCATGTTTTCTTTAATTTTTATTTTTTTATTATTGCTTGGAATTTAGACGTGCGGATTTTAATTTAATAAAAGCTGGACAAGTAATTTTTCTAAAAGCAGCTTTTTTATTTAAAGAACATATGTTAGTAACTTTCTTATATTAATGATTTTCTTTTAAAACACTTTTCGCAAATAAAGTGTACTAAACACAGTTAATCTGTTGTGCATATATATATATATTTACCTTTTTATTTTTATATAATTTTACTACATTTCTGTTTATTATAAAAGTGCAATAATGGGGCTGGAATTTGGTCAATTTCTGTTCCAGCTTCCATAAAGAAGCTAAAAAGCAATGATTAATTATTTTTCTTCTGTATGCTCCACGTTTGTGGCCAGTCTAAACTAAGATTAATAAATACCTTTTTTTTAAGTATTTATGCCGTGGTGTATGGGTTGATAAGATAATTTTGGTCAACCATTGCTTGAAATGAGTAAATCCTTATGGTACGAAAAGTAATATGGCATTGTACCACATTAAATCTAGGTTAAAATAAATATTTTTACATTGGTGTGGAGCTACATCTAGCAGGGTAGTTTTACAAATCTTGCAGTGAATTTGATTCTCACTAGGTGCCAAATATTTTTTAATTTCGTGTAAATAACTACAAAGGGCCCCAATCATTTGTCGATTGCTTGTGGAGTGAGCCCATGTAACCCACTAACTAGTATCGCCTTGTGCCAAACCAAGATTAAAGTTGAACAGTTTTTTTTTTTTGGAACACAAGGAAATTACTAACTTTTTACTAATTATCCTTGCGTTCCAAAACTATTCGGTGTTTTGGAATTCACGAAGAAATTACACGAATAATTGTTATTCTTAAGTAATTTATACATTTATAAATTTGAAATAATTCGGCATTTAAAAAAAAGTACAGCTCAAAAGGCGGGAAAAGAAGAGAACATTTGGGGGCGGAAGTGACGTCAGATGTCGAGAAAGTTTTTGAACAAACGGAACCGAAATAAGTCTTTTTTTTCTTTCTTTCCCTTCTTCGATCGTCTGTATTTTTTTTTCTTTTTTTTTTTGGCTACTCCTGCCTGCTTGTCTAGAGAGATAATATTTTGGGCTGGAGGTAATAATACTTAAAGAAAAAGTAATTAGCATCACTCTGTATTTAAAATAAAGATATAAAACTTTTATCGATTTTTATCGAATGTCTGATTGTGATTCTGAAGATGATGCAACGGACAAACAACTTAAAATTGTTATTCTTGGCGATTCGGCCACAGGAAAGGTAAGAAAAGAAAACATTTTAAAAATACTGACAGGTTTTTGGTTTTATTAAGAATTTATTTTTGCAAGCTTAAGTCTTATTTTTATGTTTTAACTGATTTTCTTTTAAATGGTAAAATAAAAAACTTTAATTTTTTTTTAAGAGGCATAAAAAAATGATGAAAACTTAAATTAAAAAGTTTGAGTATTTTTAATAAAAATTTAAAGATTTTTTTTTTCATCTTGTCGAAAAAAGTTAGTGAATTATAAAAAAATCGCGGAATTTTCTTTTTTAGTATTAAAAAAAAACTATTTTAAATATTTATTTCGGTAGAAAAAAAAATTTTTTGATAATTTTTCATTTTTTTTTATGAAGACGCTTTTTTGTGAGAATATTTTCTATTTTTAAATAAAAAATCTTTGACTTAAGTCACTTTTTCTTCCTTTAGACAAAAATTAATTAATTTCATTTAATTTCAATTATTTCTCCATTTATTTATTTTTTAACAACAATTTACATTTTTAATTTTTTTTTTGTTTTGTAAAAGAAAAAATTTGCTTCAAACTTCACTTTTTTTTACACTTTCTCTCTTAAATTCTTTTTCCTTTTAAAGAATTTTTAAAAAATGGTATTTAAAAATAGGATTTTTAAATCAATTTATGTTTGGTTAATAAATCATTTTTAAATAATTGTTGGAAATATGTCTCCCGAAAAAAAAACTTTTGAAAATTTCCTTTTTTTTTTTTTTTTTTTATCGTAAAGAAAAAAATATTTTTCTTTTGAAGTAGAAGGTTAAAAAAAGTAAAAAAAAAAAATGCTTCTAAAATCCTAAAAAACTTCATAAAGCATCTTAAAAAAAAAAAAAAAAAAAAAAAAAAGCATTGGATTCTAAAAAAAAAAAGACAAGCAAAGTTTGCAACTCGAAGCGAAAAATAAATATTTCTCTCCTACACGATACTTTTTTTATACACACACACTAGAGAAGTTGTTTTTGAAAACGCGACTTCTAAACAAAACAACTTACGAAAAGATAGTCACGTGACTTGATGCATTTGATACGTGGTGCCCGGAAAATTCGGTCATTTTGACAAGGTAGAAAAATTCGGTAACTGAAATAAAAAATTTTTTTATTATAAAAATGAATAAAGTTTTTCTTCAAGAAAAATGACAAAGAAATGAGGTTTATATTTTTTTTTTTGCTTCTTTAAAAAGTAATAACTTTCTAAGTTTTTTTATTAAAATAATTTGGAAAGAAGATACAAGACTTTTGAGTTTAACTTAAATCGATTTTATTTGCTTGAAAACAATATAGTAATTAAATAAATACTTATTTAATTTACAAAATATTTATTTAAAAATATTCGATGGGGTGGGGCTTAGACCGTCCCTCTCATACAGAAAGTACAGCGCTGGTATTGTAGTGGGATTTTATCTGGGCTGGAACCCATGATTATTTTAGTTAAAACGTAGGTGGGAAGTAGCTCCCTCCAGAAGTATGGCCCTGGTATTGTAGCGGGGTTTTATACCCCTATAATACTTTTTAAAAAGTATTGGGTAAGGAGGCGTAGTCCCCTAAGCCCCCTACTGCAAGTACGGCTCTGGTATTGTTGTCATCGGGTTTTATCTGGACCCCACAATTTTCAGTTATTTAAAAATATAGGAGAAGTGTGTGTGTGTGTGTGGGGGGGGGGTTCTTAGCCCCCAAATCCCTACCCCAGAACGGCCCTAAAATCAATTTTCAGTTGACTTTTATTTCATAGTTACTGAATTTTCCTACCATGTCAAAATTAAATTTTCTTAAATTCCATTTTAATTTGAAAAACTTTTGTTCTGAAAAAAAAAAAGAAAATATGAATCAAAATTTAATTTTTATAATTTTTAATGAAATATTCTCAGTTATTTTAAAAAGTAAGTACTTTACTTAGAAATGGATTTGATTTTTAATTCAGTGCTGGGAAATTATTTCTTTAACTTTTGAATTCCATCTGAAGGCTATTTTTTTCTTTCTAGGTGAAACTGACTGCACTACCCAAAAGATTAATTTTACTAATGGTACTTAATTAGTAATAAATTAGTCTTTTAAAATTTTTTTTACTTTTATTTTTGAATCGTGTCTTAATGTTTTAAAAGTTATCCTTTTTGTTTTGTTCAAGTCAGTGACAGTTCACTTTTCATCTGAATTTCAAGAAACAGGTTAAAAATAGTGGGGCACCTAGTGAGAATCAAATTTCTCAAACTCTTCCTGTGAAACTTGCATCATTGCCTTGCTTGACTATTGGGCCCATAGTTCTGGAGGAGCAAGTTGAATAAAAAAAAAATTGACTAAAAAATGTAATTGATAAAAGCACATACACTACTGCTAATTACGGTGATGAATGAATTTGAAGAAAACCTGAGAATAACAGTAAATAGGATAACCTCACCTATTATTGTCCTAAATCCGTCTTCAATAAGTAATTTAAATATTCAGTCTAATTAACAGTAGGTAAAGTAGTAACTGTTGTCCAATTATGGTGATCCAATTATTCAATAAGGCCTGAAGTGTATTTGTGAAAATAATATGATGGGATCAATATTTTAGTCAGGCTTATTCTTTTCATTCAGAGTCTGTCTATATTCTGAGATGAGGTATTATGTACATTATTTACATTATTCGGACTATTGTCCTCATCTTTGTCGTCATATTTATCACAACGTTTCAACCGTTGTACGCTCCGGCCTTCTTCAGGTGGTTGGAATATTCCAACCACCTGAAGAAGGCCGGAGCGTACAATGGCTGAAACGTTGTGATAAATATGGTGACAAAGATGAGGACAATAGTCTTTTCATTCAGTTGTTTTATTCAAGTTGTTTAAAAGAATTTTTTTCTTGGGATGGGAGTAGATGGTTGTGAAGAAAGTTAAAACAACAAACATTGCTGAAGAGTAGTTAAAATAATAGCGGCATCATGGGAAAAGTCATCCTTTTGACATTCTGTTTTTTTTTTTTTGTTTTGTTTTATGGGCATGAATATCCATGTTTGCTAATTTTTTTGACATTGTCTACCTTCAAAATCATGGGCTTGATTTTCAAGCCCATAACTATTTACAACATAAAGGATTTTTCTTTTTTTTTTTTTAAAACACAGTTCAATTATTTCATAAAATTTTCACTTTTCTGGTTTCTTTTGTCTTCTGCATCCTTTTCTATTTCTTTCTTTGTTTGCTTCTTACTTAGTTCATCTTCTGTTGAGAGCCAAAATTCTTTGTCTTTCTGAAATCCTTCTCTAGCTTGTGTCCTCCTCAAATTCTTTTATCCTTCTGACTTCTTGTCACCTTCTGGATCCCTATATCTTCTGAAATGTTTGTAAACTGAATTTCCTATCAACTCTATAGTCTTGAAAGGCTCCAAATTTTAAATTTGCATGAATGGAATATACTCTTCTTCTCATTGGTTAAAAAAAAAAAAAAAAAATATATCTCTTTCTGTAATTTGAAAATTAAATCTTGTTAGTAATTATACCATCCATTGATTGACTTATTTTCAGCAGGTTCTTTTTGCAACTTACTATTTTTAGAAAGTTCAAATACAAATATTTCACATCAAATTTATTGTCTTTTTTAATTTATTTAAACACTTCTCTTAAAGGTAAATATAATAAACAAACCAAGATCATTATAATATTTATTATTTTTTATCGTCACACTTTTATTAAGCCTTTGTTTAATTTACATTTTTTTTTATATAAATTTTTATATTCTCCCATCAAGAGAAAGAGCAATAAACAAACTCAGTTTATTACATTTTTTAATTTTATATTCACCTTTTAATTTTGTTTACATTATTTTCTAGTAAAATTCTTTATAATATGCCAGTTTTAACTTTTAAAGTTATTAAAGTTGAACTTACAATCTGAGATGAGCTTAAAAATAATTCCAAGTTTAAATAAATATCAAGTGAAAGCTTTGACAATTTTGTACCAACACCTTATTTTTTTTGTTTTCCTTTTTTTTTCATTTTTACTGTTCAAATAAATTTATTTTAGGTAAAAAAAAAAAACAACCGTCCCTATTTATATAGGAAGTAACAGAGTGTGGCTTTAGTGTTTCAAACAATTTTTACAAAGCAAATCAATTCATCTTCCTTATATTCAATTTAAACTTCTTGACTCAAATTAAGGAACCTACCTTTTGATATTGAAATTAAAAAAAAAACCCTTCAAAGTTTGATTTCATTTATTTGAACTATTTTTTATTAAAAAATAATTTAATTCAACATTTGTGACCAAGAAGTTTGAGAATTTAAAAAATAAAAATAAGTGCTTTGTTTAAAGTTTTGCACCTGATCACAATTTGGTTTTTCAAAGTCTGGCTTTATCTTGGTGAAGATTCTTTTTAGGTATGTCCTTAAGAAATGTTATCATTACTTCAAATAAGATGGAAATTGTATTTTATTGCTGCTTGCCATATCAATATCCACACATCAACAGGTAATGAAATGGTGTGCTAAAAATACAACTTTTAAGAAACACATTTCTTCTTTTTTTTTTTAATGCCATGTCCTATTAGGTTGTAGATGACCATGGTTTTCTACTGATTGCTTTTCTTTATTATCTGTAAACTGCCATGTCCTCTTGGGAAAGATTATGGATTTGTTTCCTCTTGCCTTCTCCATGGTTTGGAATTCTGAATTTTCCTAGACTGGCTGCCATTTAAGTCTAGAGAGCCCAGTTTACTCTACTATTTAATCCATTGTTGGGGAGAGAAGAGATGGATCCAGGCTTTTCCTATGGGTAATTGTGTGAAAGAGGATGCAACTAGGCTGAAATTTGAACTTGGCTTGTTGATTTCAATTTTTGTGCTAGTAACTGTTATTTGACCTGCACATCCTCAACATGTGCGTTGTTTTCAGAAATCCAACATTCTGTAATTGAATATGCCAATAATGGACAAACAAAAATAGGTAAGACACAATTTATTTTTTGCCATGTGGAATGTTTACAAAAACTAATTATGGCTCACATGTTTCTGTGTTACTGACATGTAAATCCATGCCTTTCAATATTGATTACAATTAAACATGGTAGATTAGTATATAATTTCTGTTGTGATCTTGGCCGTGAATAGATCGTTAACAATTTTCAGCTGTTTGACTTGATAGCATCAGTTAACAGAAACTGGTGGAAATTGACCAAAGCTGTGTTTTTGTTTTCATCAAAAGATTCCTGTTGAAAGTTTTGATCACTATCAGTGAAGTAGAGAAAGGTCGCACCAGAAAGTGTTTTCTAATCCCTAGTTCCTGTTGATAGATTGAAACCAATTATTCAGCAACATATTACTGTGGATTGAAGCCATATTTGTAAATAACAGATGAACTGCATCATCATTGCAATGTGCCTAACCAACTTGGTTAATGGCATATGCATGAAATGCAACTGGTGGTGCATTTAATGCATCCACATAGTCCCAAACATACATATGCAAAGTTTTGTATTAATGCTGCAAGAAGAAAGAACTATGGAACCATAACGTTACAAATCAGGATTTATTCTCATGTGGTGGGAAAACTGTTCCCAAAAATTAAAATAAGGACATTTTTATTTTCTTGCTTTTCTGTGATTTTAGTAGAAAATTATAATATTAAGTCAATTTATACCTGAAATAAATTGCACTTTCGACAGTATTTTTGTTTTATTTCTAGTGCAAGTAAATCCAGCCTTATTTTTACTTTTGTTTTTCAAATTCTTAAAATTATTGGTCACAAATGTTGAAATTTATTTTTTTTTTTAACTTAGAGAAAATTAGTTGAAATATATTGAATTTCAAATTGTATTTTTTTTTGTTTTCTTTCAAGTACATTGCTTTTCACATTGAAAGGAGAGCTTATCATATGAGTATAATTCAACAACGTTAAGTCAGTATGATAAATCAGTACTTGGTATGTAAAAAATGTTTGATGTGATAATACCAGTTATACCCAAATAACCTATTTAAAAAAAAAAAAAAAATGACATATCTTAAAGTAATCTCAGGGACAAGTTGGCATAGTTTAAAATTATTATCAGCTCAAGCACCGGGAGCCATTCCTCCTTCATAAGAGGGCTGAGGTATCCCCAAAAGGCAATTGTGCCAAGGGAACTTGAGATATTTTTGAACGGCTTTCCAGAAACCCCACATTATACTCTGGTTTTGTGTCACATTCTACTGTGACGTGGGCACATGGATAAATACCTACCTTAAAGTAATTTTTGAAATGGACTTTTTAATCTCTCTCTTTTTGTTTTAGTGGGTACACACATTTGTGTTGTTATCCCTGTTTTTTTATTTTTCTTAAACAGTGAAATTAACAACAACCAGCTTAGTAGAACTTCAGAATCTAAGCTGATTATTAATTTAACTGTTTAAGAAAAATAAAAAAGGGATACCAAATCAATGGTGTACCCACTGGAAGTAATATTTACAGTAATACGAGATACCTTAAAGTATACAAAGTTCCAGACTCCTTTTGACACAAAAGGTATTCAAAATCTGGCAATGCTTGTTAGGGGAGGAAAAAATTGTCATGTACATAATCTGTGGCTATTGGTTAGAATTATTTTTTTTTATATTTTTGGGATATGTTTTGCACTAGAAAAATGAAAGATTGGTATACAAGAATAAAAAGAAAAAAATTTAATTTTAATTTAAACTTTGTTCAAAGTCAAGTTTCATCAATTGAGAGATAAAGTTGATTCACATTTGTGACTTTGTACCAGATTACATTAAACTTATAAACGTTCAGGTGTATAATTCAAATAACCTAATTTAAAAGTAGGTTATTTGTCCTGGCAATTTAGTAAATACCAAACCAGCTCATCCATGAATTCTGTGGGAAAATAGTGTATTGGCTGTAGTGGGATTTGAATTTCTATCTCCTGTCTCTAGTGTTCACTCTTGTCAGGGACTGAAAATTGGGTCATGTAAAAAAAACTCATCCACAAAGAAAAAGTAAAAGAAGAAAGATTTAAGTGTTTTATAAAATTTTTTTTTTCTTTCTTTTAGTTCAGTTTCTTCTTCTGAAGTTAGTTTTTCTATGACAGTAAATAGATGAAGCACAGGAAAATTTCTTATTAACTCCTCTTACTATGTTGACTCTGACTTTTACATCCATCTGCTACTGACTCCATATTGGCTACTTAATACATTGAATTTTAATTATACCTAGCACACGAGTGGAGAAATCACAAATTCACACAAATATTTAACAAAAAAAGATGCTTGGTTCCATTTCAGCATGTATTGAAGAATATAAAATTTCTAATAACTTAATAACAATACATGCTTAAAAGCTGAAATTTTGCAGATTAATAACCTGATCTGTTTTAATTGTGTAAATTTTATCTTTCTCTGTAATTTATAAGTTAATTGAATCCCATTCTAATTTGGTATCCACTCAGTAATGATATTGTGTCTTAATAATTTTCAATTAGAACAGTCTACTCACTGAGGACTAAATAAAGGGTTCTATTCAGAATTCCAACATATATCACCTGAAGAAGGCTAGAGCATACAACGACCGAAACATTGTGAATATAGCAATAAAGATGAGGACAACAGTTGGAATGATGTAAATAGCATAAATAGTTACAATACTTCATCTCGAAAATATAGATAAATAGAATTAAAAATAAGTTGGCATCTATGCAGATGATATTACCATTTAGTCCTGTCTCCATAGTAAAACTGGCATTGCTGACAAAGCTAACCTGGCTGTTGGTCTCAAAAACGACCTCCAATCTGTGGTTGACTGGGGCAGGAAATAGCCTGTGAATTTTAATGCGTCCAAAATGAAACTGCTCTCATTTACTAACCATAGAGAAACTTCCCTGCCTCCTATCAGCATGGTTGATGCTCAACTCCACCAGAGCACCTCACTGTTCTTTCTTGTTCTCCATTGACCTGAGGTGGAACAAATACATTGACTCAATAGCTGCATCTACTGCAAGGAAAGTTGCTTCTCTGTGTCACGCTAACACTCTACCATTTGTCCATACATGGAATACTGTTGCCATATATGGTCTGGTTCCCCCACTGTTCATCTCAGTTCTCAACAAAATCTATAGATGGATATGCAATGTGATCGGTCCTGACTTGGGGTCTCAACTCCAGTCACTTTCTCACTGATGTAATGTGGCTTCCCTCTGTCTTTTCTATAAATATTTTCATGGCACCTGCTCTGATAAGCTATTTTCAGACTGCATGAATTTTAGTGTGCTACTAGGTTGGCATTTTGGACCCACCCTTTTACTGTTGAAACAGTTAAATTTAACCACCTCTTCTACTCCAACAGCTTCTTCTCTCTCACTTCTCAACAGTGGAACTCCCTTCCTCTTACTTGCTTCCTTGATAACTATAAAATTCAAAAATTTAAATGTAATGTCGACATCTTCTCTTGCCTTGATCCCCATTCTTCTTTTTAGGCTTTCTTCACCCTCCCCCATACACAGTCTTTTCTTTTATTTACACTCTGTAGCCCCTTGAGTACTAGTGGCTCTCACACTTTGATTTGGGTGAATTGCTTAAAAAAAAAAAAAAACTTTGATTATAGCTTTGGTTCTGTTTGCTCTGTGAGTAAATTGAAATTTTAATGAATTGTACTATCTTTTTTTTTTTTCACTTCTATTCTTCAGACCAACATTGCAACTCGGTATGCACAAGACCAATTCTGTAGAACACATAAACCAACTGTTGGTGTAGATTTTTATTTGAAAAGAATCCTTGTAAAAGGTAAGCATTTGGTAGCTACTTTTATTTTGAAAACTTATATAATCTTGGTAAACTTAGGAACCAATGTACTGTTGCAGTGTCTTATTCAAAGACAGCTTATGGTTTCCAAGAAACAGAAGGAGCCAGTCTGTTTCCATTATGCTATTTCTAACTCATGCATATTGAATATTTGATGTAATAAATAATATTTATATAAGCATTGTTATTTGCTTTCAGGTCAAATCAATGTTGTGCTTCATATTTGGGACCTTGGTGGCCAATCCCTTGGAGGAAACATGTTGCAGAATTATATCTATGGGGCTCAGGTAGGATAGATATTTTATTGAGAGGTGTTTCTTTTGTTTTACATCTATGTGATCCTGATTAGATTGTTTTAACATTTGCTTCTTTTTTCCTAATGTCTCAAGAAATCAAATTCTGGATGAAAGGTAGCAGGCATCTTAGAGCAGTCGATAAGACAGTTCCTAAATCTTGATAATGGCAGCAAGCATCTTAGAGCAGCTGATGAGACAATTCCTAAATATTGATCATGGCAGCAAGCATCTTGGAACAGCTGATGAGACAATTTGTAAATAATGATTAAGGCAGTGAGCATCTTGGAGCAGCTGATGAGATAATTTACAAGAAATCTTTTTATCTTGGATCTTCTGATTTACATTATTTGAACTCTTGACTATTATCCTCATCTTTGTTGTTGTTATCACAGTGTTTCAGCTGTTATACCCTCCAGCCTTCATCAGGTGATTGTTGATCTTGGTAACTTTCAGTGAATTTCAAACTTAACTCTTTATTTAATCTATGGGGGTAGATTGTTCTCATTCCACTGACCATTTCTAGGAATATCTTGTCTTGTTCTTATTTAGCACTGCTTGTAGTTATTGCTTGTTCTGTTAGCACTGAGTCTAAATCTGTAACACTTGACCCAGGGATTGAACACATAATTACTATTATCACCAAATTCATAAACCATCACTTTAATTCGCTAGGCTATTGTCCCATGGAAAAAAATCAAGATAATAACTGAACAGTGTGAAATAAGAACCAGATGAATTGTCCCTAGTCGTGGACAGCAGAATAACAACAATCTACCCACAAATGGTCCTGTTGGAAATTCCCGATGGTTACTCAGGTCGAAAATCACCTGAATTAGGTCAGAGCACCCAATCGCTGAAACCACTAGAAATTAGGATAATAGTCTAAATAATGTAAATAATTCTTCATCCCAGAAATTCAGAGAAAAATTAGGTCTCTTACTTTAGCAGTAAATGGCATAATGATTCAAAAAAATAAATTTAAAGATGATGATGAAAGCAGGGATTGTCTGAAAGCAGCTGACAAAATGTTTCACTGATAGGATGTCACAGAAAAATATTCTCATCTTAAACTACAAATCTCATCATGTATTTTGGCAGTTAAACTATTCAATGAATAGATCCAGCCTTTTGAACTAAAAATAAACAAATTTAATCACAGGCTTCACTGATAAACTTTTTTTAAAATTTGAAATTTTTCCAATTACATTTCATGACTATCATTGACTATTTTACATTTATGACTGATTTTTAAAATTTTCTTTTATTACAATATTCAGGTTACTTTACATTCTAGCCTCTGATGATGTCTAAACTTTTATCCTTTATCCTTGGGAGCCCATCTGACATGGATGATGTGTTTACTGATTTGGCCATGGACGACAACCAGCCAAGTTAAATCTGGTCATATAGTTGTGTCTGATGATATCTTTATGCTATATTGTTTGTTTACTATTTAGTAAGACTAAATGTAATAATCTTAAATTGTCTTAAATTATTAATGAAAATAATTTATTGAAGATATTTGTGTTCAATTGGAAAGATTGATTCTAGTTTTCATTGTGAAGTGAAATTTGTAATAAATATGAGAAAGCATTAAGCTTGGATGATTTGTTTCTGTTTCTCTTCCTTAGGGAATCCTGTTAGTATATGATATCACAGATTCTTTGAGTTTTGACAATCTCTATGATTGGTTGTCTGTAGTGAATAGCCATGGCATACAAAGTGGGAAGACACCACCCCACCTGGCACTCATTGGTAATAAAGGTAATTACAAACTATTTTTACTTTTTGTATCTTTTGATTAGTTTTCTATATCTTTTTGTTTCTTTTTCTTCTTTTTTTCACAACTATGTTGATTGACATACATCCTCAGTAAGCAGTGTGAAAATGGAACAAAGAAGTAGTTCTTGATGAGACTTGAACCTGTCTTTGTGCTTTGGATGGCTGTACTTTTGGAACTTCTCCAGATCTTTGTTATATTTAGTAACCTTCTGGGAATGTGAATTGCAATTTTTTTTTTTTAATTTCCACAGGGTTTGTTGTTCTCATTCCTTTCAGTCATTTGGTCATGTCTGATGGCCTACCTAGGGAATTTCATTATCTCTTCTTTCTTAGGATGTTAGTCTGACTTTCTGCTAAACACTACTTGACCTAAGGATTGAACTTGTAACTTTCAGCTTTGTCAGTGCTTTTATCTATGAGGTCACCTCTTGTAAGAAATTAAAGTATTGGATTTTTTTGAGTTTTAAGTCTAATGTCCATTCTTTCTTAGTCAAATCTGGCGCTTATATATGTGCTTGGCCTACTCAGTTGAATATAGTAAATGTTGTCTTTGTTCAAAATAGTCGACAATTAGGAAGGTCATAGCTAGATAGTGTTGAAGGAACAGAAGACTAGGTAGGGAAAACATAGAAGAAGAGGTTTATTGAATAATCATATATAAAATGGAAAACATAAGTAAATCAAATACTACTCAAATCCTACTCTAATGTGGCCACTTCACACACACACACACACACACACATATATATATATATATATATATATATATATATATATATATATATATATATAGGGAAGAGCAGGAAGTGCATGGTGTCCTATTCTACAACTGTTGAAAACTAGACACAACAATAATTTGTAGAAATGGAGTCAACCAGATGAATTATTATTGATGTAATAGGTAAAAAGGTTGTATAGCTATGGCAGTCATGGGATGCAGAAAGAATTTAACAGCATTTGGCCAAAGAATTATTGTTGGAACCAAAAAGATCAGATACTCTATCTCTGAAGTGATGACTCTAGATTTTTCATGAGCAAACATAGCAAGGCTATACTGGGATTATATGAATTCTAGACAGACAAGAAAAACAATAGGTGCCCCACACACATAATGCAAGCATAGGATTGCTGGTGACTGATAAAGATGGTAACCAGCCAATGAAGGTGATCATTGCATCAGTTCCAAGACTATATCTAATAGGACTGGCAGCCAAGCATTGGGGTTGATGACTGGAATGGACATGTGGGTGGATAAATTACTAATATAACAATTGGAGAGAACATCTTTACCAAGTAACTTGTTAGCAATGTCTATTAATTAGTTAATTAGAAAATATACCTATTATTAAGGAGCATCATACAACTATTAACAATTATTGACCTATTTGCAGAAATGCAAATGTACCAAAGAAATAACAAAACTAACTCCCTCTAACTTGATCCACAAAAGAATCAGTTTATTCGCCAAAAATTTGGAACATTTTACATGATATTGCAGAAATAAGAGTTAATTTGTTTATATAAATTGAATAAATGAATGGAATATATAGTTTTGTAATACAATCAGAAAGCAAGTTGAACATTTTACTAAATTGTGTATCAACAAGTTTGAAAATATTTGAAAAAAAACATAATGAATCTTAGATAGGTACCTCCATGAAATCGCTAAAAAAAGAGCATAGCTTGATGAAAAAGACGCCAACCTTGCCGAAAACAAAATTTTATTGTCTAAATGCTTATGTTATTATTAAGAGGAAAGACCAAAGTTTTTTTTTCATTATTTTTAAAAAATTTTCCTTCTTTTTAGAACATTCTAAATTTTGATTAAAAAAACTCTTTTTTCTATTTGTATCAGTGGAACTAGTAAATAACATAGACAATTTTTAGCACATTAATTTGAAAATCGTGCAAAAATAGAAATAATTGTCGGATGTTAATGAAACTTTCAGGAACTATTCACAGATGATCAAAATTATTATAAATATGTTTTTTTTATGAAAGTCATGGTAGAAATATTTTTTTTAAAATATTTATTACCCCCTAACTAATTTTATGAAAACGCTAGAAATTCGATCGATCGGTTTTAGTGATTACAATAATTAAAAGCACAGAGCTTTGAGGAATGCAAATCATGTTTTTTTTGTTTTTAATTGATACGCAGTACCTGAAAATCAGCTCTGAATTGTAACATACAAAACTCAATAAAACAAAGATATTATTTAATTTCAAATGCTTTTATATGCTTTTAGTTGGTTTTATGAATATGGACAATATTTTCTGAAAAAAAAAAAAATTTTTCGATGAAAATGAATTTTTAATACAATTATTTGTTATTTCATTAATTATAATAGATTTTACATTTAAGTTGTTAAAATATTATAAAATTAGTTAAAAGTCAGATCGGCTTTCATAAGTGTCCTTATGAGATAGATCTTTTTTAGCGCGTTGTAAATTGTATCATTTTGACTAATCAGAAGATCCCCAGTAATTAAGAAATGTAATTTTGTGCTTATAATCGAGCTGTAATTATAAAATACGGAAGACCAACCAGAATATAATTGTCGCGTTATTTGAGTTAAGCATTGTTCTCCGCTGTTAAGGCCTTTACTTTTGTGAAACACGTGTGGAGAAGTTAATTTGATTTTTCAATTTCAACTGAGAAGGGTACCTACAAGTATCAGTATCATCTTATGAAATTTATATGATCTTATTTTTATATTAATCTCAGTTACAACATTTTTCCATAAATGAAATATCAAAATTAATAATAAAATGAATGCAAATACAAATAACAGTAGAATGTAATAAATGTACATAAAATTATAGTATTTTTATGTACAATTCTGATAAAATTTCATAAGAAAGGTACCTATAAATTAATTAGATACCTTTCTTAAGAAATATGAAATTTAATGTCACTCTTAACAGTTTTATTTTAATTTCTTTACAATATATTTCCCATAAAGCATCATAAACGTAAAGGTGAAAGCTAAGTACAAAAAAAAAAAAAAATTAGACCGCTGAAAGTTTTCGTTAAAAATAACGGGGTAAATAATTTGTTCACGTAAATGTAAATTATTTCACTTTTTCTCCTTCCGTAGAACAAATTAGCTTCATGGAATTCGTAAATATATCATTCATCACATGTCAAGAGATGCGAAAGTTTATGACCTGCTTTGTTTTATTTTCAAATTACATCTTTTTTGGCACAAAAAGCTAAGTTAAGTTTGGTTCAAAATATTTTAAATAAACATTATAATTTCTGATTTTCTTAAAATAAGTTTTGAAAAAATGATAATTGATATTTAAAAAATTTCAAAGTCAGATTTCCAGTTTTTTTTAAAATGGAAAAATGGTCAATTTTGCTGACTCAAAAAAAACTAGATTTTTAACAAAAATTTCGGACATGCTAGGAACGATTAAAAAATGGAAAAAATACCCCAAAAATACTTTGACCTTTCCTCTTAATAATAACAAACATTTAGATGATAAAATTTTGTTTTCGTCAAGTTTGGCGTCTTTTCATCATGCTATGCTCTTTTTTTAGCGATCTCGTGGAGGTACCTAATCTTAGACAAACAATAATTTTGATAAATTTTATTGTGATTTCTGTCACAAATATCTGCCTTGTTTTATGGACGATGAAGAAAATATCATACAATACAATCACAGATCTTACCAGTTTACATAATTTTAATAAATAAAATCAGTTTACAGTAACAAGAAAACAATCAACAGGATAATTTGGTAAGTTAATCTTACCAAATCTAAAATCTGATACCACTTTTTTCAATGGATTATTTTTCTTCATATCATGATGTACTTTCTGTATGTCCCTCACACTTTTAGCAAAACCAAATAAATTTCCTCCATGATACTGAGAGCAACTCTGGTATAAACTTCATCAACTAAAAGAATACACTTTCTTTTGATTTTCAGAGATTTTATTAAATACATCACTAGGAAAGTTATCTAATTTTGGAACATTTTATGTCAAAGCTGATAGTATTCTTACACTTTGGGAAATTAATAATGTGACTAATACAGGAAAATTATTTTTTTAGAAGCATATCAACATCTATGGGTTATTTAATGCTGAAATCTAAATATGTTGTATACAATTTTTTTTTCTTGCAATAATAATGATTTTAGTGATACAAGTCTTACTAATTAACCCATAACTGGGGAAGAAGTGGTGGATTCCTACCCCTCCTGAGAATATTTGCATGTAAGTGAGTATAACAAACAAAGCTGGAATTGGAACACTACTCTCCAATTAACAATTCCATTACACTACCTGTACATCCAAGCTTACAGAGCCTGTTATTCCCAAATGTCACCCATCTAGATACTGACCAGGTTCAATGTTGCTTAACTTCAGTGATCATACAGGAAGCGGTGTTTCAACATGATATGGCAGAAAACCCACAGGAAAATAAAATAAACAAACACTATAGTTACTTCAGTATCTTAAATAATAAATGTAAATTAATCCAAGAGTAAAAGGTAAATTTTTTTTTTTTAAATAGGTTAAATTGTTTGTGAGATTCCAACATCGAACTTTTGTTATGACGTGTTAAAATTAGTGCCCCCTCTCCCTTCCATAGTTAGCATGCTTTTTTTTTGCCTGTTCTAGATATTACCTTGATCAGACCACATCCCAATTTAACACTAGTGCTACTCAGCCCAACAGTCAACACACATTGTATTCCATAAAGTTTTGTTGTTGTCAACCAACAAGGATATCATTATAGATAGGAGTGCAATGGTTTCTATTTGTCACTTGGGCTATCATCATTGGCCTGTGGAAAACTGGCACCATGTCATATGGTCAGACAAATATTTTAAGCTCTTTCAGAAAGACAGTTCATACATAGAAGACAGAGTGTATAAAGCTCTATGAAACAGCCTATCAACAAGCTGTTGGTGTCTCTGTAATGGCAGGGGATGTGTTTTGTTAGAACCAGTGCAAGGACTGTTAGTTAAATTGGAGTCTCTCTTGACAAGTGTGATATACACAGATCTTGTTGCAGACCAAGAAAGATAATACACCTGTTCTCTATGTCGTTGGAATTATCACAATATTGAATACAAGAGAAAACAGATAAGTGTTATTTTTTTGTGTTCTTGTATTTGATATTGTGAAAATTCAAGCCACTTGGGTCTGAAAAAATGTAGGCAGACCTGGCTAGAAACAAATTACATAATCAGTGGCCTTTAACAGGCATAAAGTCACCCCAGCCCTTGTATTTGAATTGCAATTTAGCTGAAAATTGGGAATTTTTTAAACAGAAGTGGTATAACTATGACATTATCACATATTTACATGGCCAGCCAGAGAATGTGGAAGCTTTTATAACTGTATTGTAGATGTTGTTAAAATATTGTGACTTTTGCAACAGCTACTTGGCATTGATACTGACCAAAGTGTTTTGTGGATATGGAAACCTCAAACACATGCAGAATTACTAAAGTGAGAGAGAGTTGCATTGACATCTGCAAACTAATGGAGAATGTTGCTCAGACATCTGCAAACTAATGGAGAATGTTGCTCAGCAGTCTCAAGCTTTTAGACCAGAACAAGTAGGATACAAGGTTGCTACTAAGGCGCTGAAGAGTCAGTTGAGAAGACCAGAACTTGGAAAAGAATATTGGTTCTGTACTTCTTGCTATAAACCAGATAGGGAACAATGTTCAGTGTACGGAAAAACGTGTCTGAAGTGCTGGGGCAAGAATCACTTTGCAGCAAAATGCAAGTTGGTGAAGAAGCGAAATCAGGCAGTGTGAACCCAGCAAAGTAGTAGAGATAGCAACAACAACAACAGTAGCCAGTTGGAGTTTGAATACATGGACAATGAACATATATGGCTTTGACTGAGGGGAAAACTGTCAGTCTGTTGCATGGAATAATTTGAACTGAAATGTTGCTGAAAGATCAAAGAATTGTGTTTCAGCTTGATATTGGGACTTTGTTGAAAATCTGTTCATGAAAGAAATTTGAAGTCTTCTGACAAGACCCTTGTCATGTGGAATGAGACAGATGAAACCACTTGGCAAGTGGTTGCTACAGTCTCCCAAGATAAGGAATTGAACACATGCATTAGCCCATACAAAAGCAATGCTAATACCAAAGTGGAATCTGGTAAAGACCGTCAAGAATCTATTCTAGAAAGCCAAACTTGCTCATGGAACAATTGTAAATGACATCAACTACAATTTATATATACTGCTTTTCATCTATTATGTCTATTCTTACTTTGAGGATTTTATATAGTGCTTATATCTATACTTGGCCTACTAGTTATAAGCATTGAGCATAGTATATAGACTGTTTAATCATCTTAAACACTAATCTTTTTCTATTAATTATTTTGACATTTTTTCTATAAGGGATGGTGTAACTTCTTTTTCTTTTATACATGATCAGCTATACTTGATATCCAAGTCACCCTGTGGAATATAGCTCCCCACCCCTCAAGCCTAAAGCAACAAAAGTAAAGAAACTGTCTTAAATGAATCAATGCAAAATATCAATTTTCTAGTAATTGGATGTGCAATTGTTGTTTTCAAGGAAACAGACAAATTCTAATGAGTTTGTGCTGAAAAGTTCTTGATTTGATCCACTTCCTAAAACCCGATCATTATTTTTTTTTTTTATTATTCCTTTTTGGTTGGGCTGATAACTTTTCAGTATCCCTTCTGTTTATCTTAAACATCTTAATGTATTAGTTTATTCTTTCCATATAATTTTCATAAGTATTCCATTGACTATTTGAACCAGTATCCTCAATCACGGAGTATTAGTGGCATAGCATAGTTGGGTATCAGTGGTATTGAATGAGGTCAGAAACTTGGTGATTAAAAATTTGCAATATGCTTTGTCATTGAATGTTGTGGTATTCATTCTTTATGAAGTGTATTAGAAAATTAGAATAGAGGGATTGTCTGTGGTCAGGAATTAAGGCAAGTGTTACTAATAGGAAAGGCTTATACTTTCCACCTTTTTCATATGTTGCCTTGTGTTTTAGCTGACCAGTTGCACCTGAGAACAGTAAGTGAAGAGAGACACAACAAATTTGCCAACGAACATGACATGTCAAGCCATTTTCTGAGTGCCAAGACTGGAGAATCAGTGAGTAAATTCCACAGAATACACATTCAAGCATGGGAGTATCAATCAGTTCTATTGAATTTTTTCAATTATGTTTATCTGTATGTGCACAAAAATTGCCAGTGATGAGAATTTCTTTGCATAAATATGTTTTTGTAATTTAAATCTATGCTCATATCACACCCCTAACTATCTGTGCATTTAATACTTTCCTGCACTCTTCCAAAACATATTGACTCTTTCTGTGATGACTTAAACACCTTTTGACTCTTTTTCTCTATCAATTTGCCCTTAAACAATGCTTAGTGAATTCAGTTTTTTTGAATGAGATCTGTGGGTAGTAATCTGTTTCATAGCTACCTTAGATAGTTGAACCTTTACATAATAGCATCTGTTTTAATTAACATTAGAAATTGTGATATATGAGGGTGTGTGGAAATGTTTTTGTCTTCACTCATTTCCTAAATGATCAAACAACTTAATAGTAGCCACTTGAAAAACTACTCATTTTATTTTGGCAAATACTGTAAATTGGAGTTTTCAAGTTCTAAAAAATCTTTTTCAGTCAAGTTTTCAAGTCTAAAGTTTTTTTGTTTTTTTTTTGGGGGGGGGGGACACAGGTATCCTACCATATGTTTAGGGGTCAACTTATATGATAAGAAGTATAGGCCTAATTCAGAATTTTGAGCTAAAAATCTTGAGGTCAACTTGTATGCCAGGTTGACTTGCACACAGCAATTTACAGTAAAATTAAATTTGACTTTCACTGCTACCTTAGATATTTGAAACCTTACATACTGATATCAATGTTTTTACTTTTTATAGACTTGAAATTGTTTTAAATAAGGCTATCTTTTAAATTTATTAAATTATAAAGACTATCCATCTACAGAACTTGCTTTTTTTTCCACAGCGCCGTCTCATGTATTCGTGTGTCACTTTTTTTATGAAAAGAAAAATGGGTAAAAAACCAAAAACAACAAAACAGGCTTTGATAAAAACAAAACAAAAAAAAAGCACAATCATAAAAATCATGCAAAGAATATTTATTTCTCTGTTAAAAATAGCACCCACTTCATTCCAATTTCAAGTGTTTAATTGTATTGGGTTGTAGCCTAATACAATTAAACCCAGATGTGTGTCAGTAGAAATATGCCACAAGATGCACATGTATGTTGTATGGCTGTAGACTCATTCTGTTTAAATAGAAAAGTTCTGTATTATTAAGACCATAAAGGCTAGAGACTTTCAACAAACTTTACATTATTTACTTTCAGACTGAGACATTGGATGATATTTTTTGCAATTTGCATTTGACTCTAACCAACTTGATTACTTTATTTGGATTTACAGAATATAAGCGGCTGTGATGTCATGTTGAGGCATAATCAACCTGTCTCTCAGGCCAATTTGTTAATGTAGCTGATTTGATTTTCAGAGACTATAAGTTTTGTGTTTGTAACCAGCATTGTAAGTCCAGTTAAAAGCCAAGATTATACATGCTTATTTTTAAAGCAGGCAGGCTCTCACTACTTCATTTATGCAACACACACTTTCGACTTTTTTTTTTTCCCCCCTCTCTCTCTATCAATTTGTCCTTAAGCAAAGTTTAGTGAATTCAGTGGAACATCCATTTTCTGAATGAGAACTGTGGGTAGTATTTTGTTTGAATAACTGATCCGATCATAAACGAGGAAGCCATACTGAGCATGTTTAAGGTGGGGAGACAGGTGGAAAAGGCTTGCTTTCATTCAATTAATAAAAGCGGGATATTGATCAAAATTTCTGATATTTTATTTTATAAATAAAATCCTCTAAATCATGTTACTTGTTTAATTAATAAAAAGTTGAGAATTCTGGGAATAATAATGTAATTATAACAAAAATACTTAATGAAGACACCATGACAGATCTTTCCAGGTTTTAATTTCTTCATTTTAATATTTTATTTGTTAAAATTATATTATGGATTAAAATTATTTCAACATTGCCATCCAGTTTCAACAAGTAACTGTCAAAATACATTATCTAGGCATTTCTTTTAATTTGCATGCACTACATAAATTCACTAAAATAGGTTTGTAAGCATCTGGATTTATACATTTTATTTCCTTGAGAATTAATAACAAAAATGTTAATCACTGTTTATTTATTTATCTGACTGACTAATTCTTTTATTGTCAATTCTCAAGAAAAGAAATCCATTTTATATGTTTAGGTTTTATTAAAATTCTAAAAATGGCTTTTAAAACAAGAACACTTTGCTGAAATTTCATCACAAACACGATTCTCAGTGCTTGAATTAACTATTGTCATTAGAGATAACACCATGTTGAAATGTTTGTTTGCACTAGAAACAGGAATAAACTACCATGAATCATACTTATAAAACCCAGGTTGTGTGCGTGTTTGTACGTTTATATATTGGATTTCCTACATTTTTCAACAAAACTTCACAGAACTACATAAAATTACCTTGCGGTGGTTCTGACAGCGCCAAAAATTGGAAAAACAATTGTTCTTGCACAAAATCAATTTGAATGTTGACACGAGAATGAAAGGGGGACAATTCATATCGAGTTATACTTATTATAAAAGCCAGGTTGTTTGTGTGTGTGTGTGTTCGTTTATATATTGGATCAGATTTCCTACATTTTTCAACTGATTTCAACAAAACTTCACTTTTTTTTTTTTGGCAGGTAGTGTTTCTTATTGCCTTGCACACTTTTCTTTATTTTTTACATTCAGAATACTTTAAAAATTCCGTTTACAAGGCAATTGTTTATAATAAAATTCTATTCAATCGGTAGACTCATAACGATTGAAAACAATGTTTTTATTTGAGTTTGACCAATTCGTAAAAAAAAAGAAAAAAAAAACAACTAATTAAGACATGCGTGTCCGTCAACCTTAAACAATCTTTGTCAATTTTATTTTTCAGTCTTTATTAATGCCGGGCTCTACTGCTAGTAGTTGATAAAAGCTAAAACTCTGGTTACAACATGAGAAGATGTAAATTTTTAATTCCTGATAACTTTATACAGGATTATCAAATTACAGAACATTTTGTAGTTGGGTGGGGAAGGGGTGTCCAGGGCTACAGCTCTCCACAGCATAACAATTAAGTAGAGATATTCATTTTAGGTTGTAGAGAAGAATATAATGTAATTTTTCTTTTATAAGAATAAAGTTAAAAATGAAAATGGTTAGTTCTATATGTTTGAGCTCAAACTGGCCATTGTGTAATAAAAGCTTTTGGTTCTGGATTCAAATTATAAAGCTTAGTGTATCATCAAAGGATCATTTCTTTCTTGGACAGTCATGCTCTTTAAGACTCAGTCTCTTCACTAAATTCTCTAGGATCAACACTGAACAAGTTCAAGTTTGAATTCAAAAAGAAGAAAACACATGAAACTGATTTTTCTTTTTTTCATTTTATTTTTCTTAATAACTCCAACTTTATTTTTAAGATTTGAAAATTATAAAATTATGATGAATTTTAAATAAGAAAAAAAAAACCTATTGTGTAAAAATGATCAGCAAAATAAAAGCTCCAAGCTCACAAGGAAAGAAAAGATGAAAATAAACACTATGATGAGAAATGAGAACTCAAACCTATTTTCAGTATACATAGGGGTTTATTCAGAGCTCCAGTCTGACACTTGGGTCAACTTCTGACATGTCGGACTAACAGATTGGCTCTTTTTCCTACCAACTCTGTTGAGTAGTAATTAGACACATTGAGAAAATCTAGCACACAGGTTAGTCCAAACGTTGTTGGGAGGAACATTAAGTGCAGTGATATGTCAGGTTGCAAATTCCAGTGATGTGCATGAACTCTCAATTTAAAATTTGATTATTTCTGGCTTGTACAGCCAGAAAAAAATCCTGTCATCATAGACTGTCGAATAATCAGGGTTCGGATATGAGACTTTTGTGTAGAGAGCTTATCAAAATAGTAGCTGCACAATTATGACACAAGTTTCTTTATATAAAAGAATCATAAGCGACAAAATTTTCTTTCAAGACTTAATGTTGAATATGGGGGCTTCTAAGCAGCACACAATACAAAAGAATAAATAGTTAAATGAAAACATTTCGGGTTCAAGTGACAACAAAACTAGACATTGAGTATTTTCATCACAGTTGGGACTGGAGTGACTGGCTGAAAACAAACTGTTGCTCAAGTACTTCTGAGGGTAACCATTTGAGTTACCAGCCACGTGATGTTGAGATGAGCAGAGTTGGTAGGAAGAACAGCCGATCTGCTTATATTATAATAGCTTTCAGATAAGTTTTCATCCTTTTACTTATTACAATTGTAAAGGTTGTTATGCTTATGAAATTATAAAATATCATTTTTATAAAAGTTAAATAATATATATATTTTTTTCTTTTTTTACAATGAGGTTCACCCCGTACAAGGCCCCAGGTGCCACTCAAGGTAGAATGTTACATTAAGAGACAGTTTATTAAGATAAGAGGGAAGTTAACCCTAGACTTGAACAGGTTAACATTGTAGTGGTTGGGGAAATGTTATCTTGGTCGGTTGCACAGAGATAAATTGTTTGAGTCATACAGAGGGAATGTGTATGGTTTTGTTACGTTGCTCAGAGAAGAAAGCTAGTAACCTTTCCCTAAGGCTTTACTGAACTTAATTCACAGCAGCAATCAACAAAGGAAGAAGAACGCAGCTTTTAAAGAGGAATGGGGACGTGTGAAAAAGTCACGTGGACAGTAAAGATAGTTTCCTTATTTCTTTTTTTTCTTTACGAAAATATAACATTCTCCCCCACTTGCAAAAGAGATCGTAATTGAATAGGTTTTATAAATCCAGTCGTTGGATTGGTCTACGAATCCTGCTAGACCCGGCGAGAGGTAGTTCACCACTGGAAGAGCCAGACCTCTGAGAAGGCTGACTTTCAAGATTCTGGCTATTATTCACAGATTCATTTTCTGTGGAAGGTGAAGAATATTAACGGGACCTGCATCAGGCAAAAGGGCTGAATCTGCGTGGTCCA